CGTTATGTTTGTCCTGGCAAAATATGTTTGTGGTACAGAGATCTCACTTTATTAGAACTGGACATTTTTTAGAATATGTTTTTTAAACCATGTGGACCTCAACTGCACAGGTCTATACAAATCTACATGTGTTCATTCAGAATGTGATTGCAAACTATCCAAATATCAATTTATGAACACACTGCAAAAAGTGATGGAAAATAAGTAAAAAATTGCTCAAATATGGGCAACGTTTCTTAGTTTGAGCACATTCTGAATGCCTAAAAACAAGATTTGACAATGGGACATCTTGCTTTAAAAATATTCAAGAAATGTCTCCCTTGGAATGTGAAAATAAAGCAACAGTTCTTGAAATAATAAAAAATGGCAGAATGCACTAAAATTAAGGTTCAAAAAACACTCATCTTAAGCAATTATTACCTCATATTGTATTTTTTTGCAGTGCAGGAAAAGTAAATTGACATTTTGTGGAATTATCAACGTCATGCATTTATTCTCATTTTCAGCTGCAAGGTGTACTCGGACGAGTTTCTCATGGACTATTGACCTCTAGTGGCTGTTTTCCTACTCTGGCAATGTAAATGGTACAAAAAGCAAGTGACATGAAAAACAACATTGAAAAGTACCTTCAAATCTCTGAAGAAAACAAATGATGCTTTTACAGTTATTGTGTTTGAAAAGTGTAATTTTAGAATTTATTTAATTTGATTAATCGCCCAAACACTCTCTCCTCAACTATTGTCTTAAGAGAAGGGAGAGAAGAGAATGTGTTTGTTTTAGGGAGAGCCTGACTTATTAAAGAAGCATGTCCCTGTGGCTGGCTCTGGCTAGCTCGCCACTCTCACTTCATTGGCCCCATGAAATACAGTGTTCATTAGGCCATTGATCAACTAGTCTCATCCTGTCACAAGATTACAGCTGGCCAACGCACCCACCTACACATGAAAACACACACACACTCACACATACCCAGGGTGCACCTCTGCCGTGAGACACAGGCCTGGTAAGTGGGGTCAGAGGTGGCTTGTAGTAATCCATCTAACCAGCGTGACAGCGGCAGCTAATAAATCACTTATTCATCGTTTAATCCATCGTAGTTCGCCACCAAACTCACCCAAAACAATGCCTTCACAAAAGAAATGTCTTTGCCTCAGCGTACGGACAGGTGCACCACTGCCCTGGGCCTGCATACACCATTAGAGAAAAAGGGTATTCAGTTGAGTTCCCAACTAGGCTACAACCTTTGTGATGTGTCCTTTCCGTGCCAAGACCTTCCATAATAAACCAGCGATTACTAAAAAAAATCTTTACAATTTTAGTGTATTTACTATTACTGATAGTTTGAATATGTTGAATTATAGAAAGACCTCACTCCCATTTCTGTGTACAGACTGAGAGGACAATACCCACATTTGAAGAGTTCATATGCAGGAGGAGATACTGTTTTTCCGTTATGAAAGTTTGTCCAAATATTGTATTCCTCCAGTTACAATCTTCAGCATGTTCTAATAATGGCAGTACACTTGAAGGAATTTGCGTCATAGGGGTGAAACTTTATTTGTATGGCACTGAAATAGATCTGGCTTTTCACAAAACAACCCAAGCCTGGTTCACACGGCAGGATAATTAGGCCGATGTTGGACCCGATTTACCCCTACGACAATCGTAAGAACGCTCCGAATATCATAACAAAAAATCTGATGGATGTTCCTGCCGTGTGTGGTGTGTTAAGACTGTGCTCGTTGCTCGGAAGGACTTCGGGACTGCTCCGATCTCAATATCGGGGATATCCAACATGTTGGTCTGTTTTGGCCCAATTTCTCCTTGTGTGTGGTGGCCCACGAGGACAGACGAGCGCGTTGCCATGACTGCGGCGTGTAGCCAATCAGAAGACGAGGCGGCGAGGAAACACCGTAAAAAAACAACTCCCCTCCAGATCACGATGTAGCAAGTATAGTCCACGCTCGTGTTGTCTCCACTTCTTTGACCACCGCCTTTTCTTTTGATTACGTCTTTTCTCTGCTAAAAACAAACTATCGCCAATGCATCCTCCTCGTCCGCCATGATTGTTTACTCTGAAGTCATGCTTGATCTCGCGAGATTTTGTGAGATTTCCGTCTGACCTGGGAATGCTAGGGGGGGGGAAATCGGTTCTTGTGTGATGTGTGTGTTTTGTGTGATTTTGCCGTGTGGCTGTGCACCACACACTGTACGGCCAAAGTGGTTAGACCCACGATTTTTTATCTCCGTGTGTGTATCTCCGCGGCCGACAATTTTTAAATCGTCTCGTGTGAACCAGGCTTTAGTAAAGAGAAAATTGTAAGCTTTTCCGATATGTTTCCATGGCACGTCTGTTTTTGCATATCCATCCATCCATTTTCTCCCCCTGAATCCATTTCTGGGTTGGGGGCGGGTGGCAGTCAGAGATGTATCCAATTCACACAGCACCACTCCCTCACCGATCCTCCTGCAGGCAGTGAATCCATAAGAAGACGGCTGCTTTGTCAGTGAGAGCATTGCCTTGGGGGGCTTCAGGCAAAGTAGGGTTAAGTGTCTTGCCCAAAGACAAAACGACAGCAGATATCAGTGGGAGTCGGTGGAGAAAGTTTTGTGGTGGCCTTGAACCCACGACCTTCATAAAGATTACTTACTTACTTACAAGCCATCGTGATATTATGAAGATGATTATTATCCATTCTCAGTCAAATGCAACCGTTGCCAATATTTCACATGAGGTTGTATGTTGAGGGAGACACAAAAATCACCGTAGATTAATGTACTCCGTATTCATTAGTGGTAATTGTAAAGTACACTTTGTCACCGCGAAGTTTGGTCACTGCATTTGACCCGTCCCTCAATCCCACGTCAGGAGCAGAGGCCCATCGCAGATCTTGCACTTGGCTAGCTCAGAGATTTTCATTTTCTGCTTGACAATAGACAGATAGATTAATTTGCATTCTTCATAAAGTTACCATTCCTCCAGTGGATTTTCGCCCGATCCGCTTGGTTCGGACCCTGAATCCTCTCTGCTCCGGTCTGGACCAGTGCAAAACCATGAACACTGTACTGCAGCAACATCTCAGGTAGATAAAAAGCAATAAAAATAAAAACGGTAAAGCACAAAACAACAACTGTTTCAGAGCTATTTCCGACTTGCAGCCGTTTTCCAGCGCATTCAAAAGTTGTGGTTGATTAGGAAACTGAAGTGCCCAGACTGACTAACAACAAAAGAAAACAGGCAAGGCAAATTTAGTGGTATAGCACAATTCATTCACAAGACAACCCAAAGTGCTGAACAAAACAAGATGGAAAACGTCACACAAGGCATAAAAAACATAATCACTGAAATTGGAATATAAAACCCCTCAGAACTGTCTTTAACCTGGATTTAAACATTGTCAGAGGCCTGTCTCACATTTTCAGGAAGATCGTTCGAGATTTTGGCAGCATTAATCTAAAACGCTGCCTCCTTATGTTTAGTTCTGGCTCACTGGAAAAAAAAAAAATTCCCTGATCAATCAAACTTGCTAACCACTCAGCTACCATCTAATAGAGATCGCCAACTCTGCCACTCGGGAGCCAAACTTGCATGTTAAACTTGTGAGTGCATAGTCTGTACTTTGTGCTGTTACTCACGGCACAAAATCTCTGTTTCACTTTCACTGCTACACCAGACTTCACTTCAACTTACTTTTCCCCTGGCGGCTCATTCATGTAGAAAACGCCTTGTGTCCAGCTCCTTTTCAAAACCCATCACTGCGTGTTCCAATTCTAAAGTCAAGGCCCTTAATTTGGTCTTTCCCTTTTTCTCTTTCCACCCATCGTCCTCTTAATTCACGCCGTTCCGGAGCATGTTGTCTCACCTGACAAGCCCGAAAGAAAAGAGTTGGAAAGAACTCAAGTGCAAAAAAGGAAAAGGAGAAAGGCGGTACAGTTTAATTACCGACTCTGACTTGTAAGTGTTCTGGTGAGGAACTATACGACCCAGCTTCACCCAGACAGCTCCTCTCCATCCCATTAGCGCAAGAAGACGGCACTGCCTACTTGCTCGGCCCGTCCTACGATCATTCTGGCAACTCCTTCCTCCGTAGCGACGTATCAAAATATTGTTTGTTGTCTCTGTGTCTTTCAGTGTCGCTCACTCAAAGTCAAGAAGCTTCCGTGGCGAATGAGAGGTTAACGGTAATAAAAATGGCTATTAGGCATATATAGCCTTTTTCTGTCGTGTCACTCGGAGAAAAGAGGAGTCTGGGAAAGGAAGAGAAAAGAGAGGGAGACACCTAATTACAAGGAGCGCACTTGGCTGCTTTTATCAGTAATTGGAGTATATAGCCCTTCATTATAATTTACTTTCTCACCCAAACTGTGATAATGCAGACAAGCAGAACTGAGTGGGCCTGTTAGTGGCCCAGAAACTGACACCAGTTAATGGTTAATTATAATGACTAAATTAAAGGAGTGACGGGGAGAAAGGGCACTGGATAAAGCCCGGGCACTTAATTTAACAGGATCACTATCAGAGAAAACTCATGAGTTCAAGATTGGAAACGAGAAGGCGACTGAACAAGAGGAGATTGGTGCAGAGAGGAGGAACACAACAGCGTGTACTTTCCAGGGTTCTCATTGGTCCAGTTGTCTCCGTAGCGTGCATGTAAGCTATGTCTCCTGGAATTAAGTTGGGAATTAATTGCGTGTTTGGCTGTGGGATGGGACGCGAGATGGAAACATATTTTCGTTTAGGTGTCGGTTAAGCGTCGAAAAGGTTTAAGTAATTACAGACTATAGAGCGTGGAACAGCAGCACAGACAATGAGAGGGTGGGGGACTGGCAGCTCCACAATTAGGTCCACTGTAGATGTTTAAACTGCCTTTATTTACCGGCTTTTGCACATGTAGCAATATCCCTGTGAGGGGCTCTTTGTCCTAGCGTTGTGGGCTCGACAATGACAATAAATGAATACTACTCCAAAGAACATTGATTGAAAGATTAACAGAAGCAGCATGGAGCAGGGCGAGACGCACGATATAAGCAAAGTATGCAATTGTGATTACGATTGTAATTACGATTACATTGTCCTCGTGATAACTTAACATTTAAAACAAACATTTACATTAATTTAATAATTGCCCATTCTTTGTGAATGTGTTTTACTTAAAATAGGAAAGAGAGGAAATTAGATGCTACCGTTCTTATAAGGTTGTCGATGTTGTCTAAATCATCAGATAATTAGCTTATTTTATGTAATTTTGTGCAGTTATTTTGTTGTCAGGAGTCAAATGAAGCCTTTGTGACCCATGTTTGTGAGACTAAAAGTTGCATAGGACAATTGAAGTGCAAAGTTCTCTATTCCACATCGAAGGAAAATACGTTTTTGAAGTAGCATGTGAAATTGATAGCAATATGGAATATCAAGAAACATAGAATACCAACAAGTCACATTTTTTGCCGGACCCTGTTGCTTGTACCAGATATGTTTTTTTGTATTTTTTTTTTTTTTATTATTATTATTTCATCTTATTTTCACTATTTTCAAGCCATTGTGAAATTATGAATTTCACAATGGCTTGAAAAAAAAAAAAAAAAAAAGTGATGACTGCTGTTGTTGTGTCCTTGGGCAAGACACTTAACCCCACTTTGCCCAAAGCTCCCACTGAAAGATCAAGGCTCTGCTCACACTCAGAGAGCAGCCGTCCTCCTGTGGACTCACCACCTGCAGAGGGTCAGTGAGGGGCTGGTGCTATGAGACTTGGGTGGCATCTCTGACTGCCACCCCCCTGACCCAGAAATGGATTAAAGGGTAGAAAATGGATGGATGGATAGAAAAAATAAGTATAAGTATAAGTATTTTTGTTTTTTTTAGAAATGCAAACGAGAAACCCCAATGCATTAGCAGACCATTGTGCCCTGTTATTTTCTAAATACCACTTCAAGGGTGAACCATTTAAAACTGTGCATTCTTATTGAGTTTCTTAACTGAGTGAATGCATAATATGTTCCCTGTATTTGTTGTGAACTCAACCGAAGTGAACTTTTACGATTGGCTGCCTCTTTCTTGCTGAGTTATCTATACAGAAAACTTCTCTACATCCTATAGCTTTCATGCAAAAAACCACAACACAATTACCATCTTCTTCTTCATGTCTTTTACCAACAAGCTCTCTCTGGCACTCGCACAGCTCCTCGCACAGCTCCTCACACCGTGGCGACACGACCCACTGTCACCGCACTGGAAATCAACAGTAAGAAGACACTTGATGCATATTATCATAATCGTGTGATTACATGTGTATTCCAGATTTCCCTGCTCCAAATGTGAAGCGTGCGCACTAGTCTGACACCCATCAACTATCACACATACACACACACACACACACAGACCCACACACACCCATCTTGCCTCTCCCATAGACATATACAGTGGAAGCAAATCTCTATTGGCTCATGAATGTGTTTGTTTTTTGGACTCCCCTGGTTTTTTTCACCTCACAGTATTGGTTGATTTTGCCTCCTGGTTGATCCATCATCATCTGGATCGTTGTAAGCTGGATCAGAACCATCTTACCATCAGAAGAGCAGCCCTCCTGGAGACATTTACCCCCTAAAAACCCAACGCTTACTCGGGTATCACGCTCTCTCTATATTACGGATCATCTACGGCTTCGGCTGCGCTCCGAAAATCCCTCGCACCATCAAAGGCCCGCGGCCGTCTGTCAGTCACGTGTGCGATTATTGCGGTGAGTGGCAGGGGACGGGTGACACTAAGCGGCCCGGCTCAAAGCACCTCAGTCAGGGCTGGCAGGTCGCGGTGACGCCGGGGGCCGGGCCGTGTCCCTCACCGGCGGGGATTAGCCGAGCCAGCTGCCAGCGCGACGCCACTCTGCTCTCACTCACACTTATGCGAGGGGGAAACGTGCGCTAATAGTGAAAAACATGATGTGTGTGGAGTTGGAGAGGACAGGAGGTGCAAAATCAACTTTTTGGTTGTGTCTTTTTCCCATGTCATTTTCTCACTCAAACTTATTTTTAACATGATCTGTGCATGTTGGAGTTATTTGTATCCTCTAGTCATTTTGCAAGTCACTGGTCACTTTACCTGCTACATTATTACTACATTATTACATTCTTTCATTCATTTATTCATTTTCATCCCCTTTATTTGTCAATTTCTGAGTCGGGGGGTGTTAATCAGAGCTGCCACCCAATCCTTATAGCACCGGCCCCTCACTGATCCTCCTGCAGGGGTGGGTCCACGGAAAGGTGAATGCTCTGTCATCGATGACACGGCCTTGATGGTTCAGTAGGGGCTTCAGGCAAAGTGGGGTTAAGTGTCCAGGGACAAAACGACAACAGTGGAAGCAGGTGCCATGGGTTGTGGGGTGATTGAACCCACGACCATTAGGTTCAAAGACCAATGCTATATACCAACTTGATCGGATGATTCTGTCACTTTACCTGCTGCTATTGTTACTATTGTTTACTCTGGTCTTATTCTCTGCTGCTAAAGTACAATATAAAAATCTGTCAATTCCTTCTGATGCTGATGATTACAGTGTATCACGTAGCTCCTGTTTTTACTTATTATATGTTGATTGGTGATTCTAACAACATTTGATTTCCTGTATATTTATAAGAATGACTGAGTCAATACATGATACTTTGGGTCGAGAGTTAATTGTTTCATTCAGCTGCTGTTGCAACAAAAGCATGTTTTTAAGCAAAGTACTTTATAACTTGATAAATCACAACTTGCCCAACATATACATAAACCTGTGATAAAATGAGTCACAATTTACTGAAATGACCAAAACCAATGTAATTCCAGCCCTTCAGCCGGCGACAGTATTGGAGCACAGCAGTGTGCTGTTGGTCCTCGTGTCACCTCAGGAAATATATCAGAGTTCCTCTTTAACCAGGCTTTGCTGTTTCTAATCCTCTCCAGCTGCACACACTAACTTTGAGCACATTACTCACTGTTAGGAATCACATTAACTTTGAAACATTTGTGTAAGCGACTTGTAAACATGCATAAATTGTCAAAGACACATGCATTCAGGGCACAGGGATTCACACAATCAGCATGTTTATGTGCGCACCAGCATATGGCTTCTGTCACATACGGCCAACTGCTAATCCACTGAAAGCAGCTCCAAAAGTCCATGATATACAACAAGCGCCTGCACTTTTATCAACCTTGTACAGTTACTTTTGAGGCACGACAGCTCCATTTGTCCCCAAGACAAACTGTGGAATGTTTGCATGAAAAGAAATGAGGGAAGTTGTTTTGCTAATTCCAATACATTTGTTACTGTTCTGTGTAGCTTTAGTTTTGTAAAAAACAAAATGTAATGGTTTTCTCTGAGGATGAAAAGAAATGGTGGAGGACTGGTTGATTCAAGTCAAACTGAAAAGGCTGTCCAGGACTGAGAACTACAAAAATTGGAAAAATGCTGACGGGATTTTCTTCTTCTGCCCAACCTCTTTAGTTTTGCCTTTTTTATATTGATTGACGCCTGTATGATTTTTGATGCAGAGGACATTGTTTGGTTGTAGTTTTTTTTTGATGCCATCTGTCATGAGTTGTCAGGCCTTGACCTAACGCAAATAACGACAGATATATAAAAAAGGAAATCTGAAGTTGATTTTTGCCAACACTATTTTGATTGCACGAGAGTCATTTTGTGGATGCTTTCTGTTCGCAATTGACAAAAGAAAAGTTCAGATTTTTACAAAGACTTAAGTTTCCATCTGCTATCATCGCTCCAGTGGTTTCTAGTCTTTGTGGCTCTGTGTACCTTCTCACCCAAAAGATCAGGGCATGGGTACCCCCCGTTATCAAAGGGTAAAAGAATCTTCCACATAGCCCCAGTGAGTTTCACCAGTGTTTTTGGGCGACAGTAGCTCAGTTGGTAGAGCATTGGCCTTTGGGCCCAAAGGTCGTGGGTTCGAGCCCACCACAGGACCTTCTCCACCGACTCCCACTGATGCCTGCTGTTGTTGTGTCCTTGGGCAAGACACTTAACCCACTTAGCCTATAAGGAGCGCGGATATGATGTTCGCTGCATGCCTTGATGTGTATGTGTATATATGTATGTACTATATGTGTATGCATCAAACTGAAATTTCCCCATTGTGGGACGAATAAAGGACCTTCTTCTTCTCTGAGACAGAGGAGCGGCTGCGGTTGCCTCTGAAGGCGCTAGAGACCTCAGCACATTTTCTATTCATTTTGACTGGAAGCGTCACTGCGCTCGCCCGGAGCAGGGGAAAATGCGCTTGGAGCACATTTTGTGTTGATGACCGTCTTTATGCGCTGGTATGTGGTGCTTTGGAGCCCAATGGGCAAGGTCCAGCCGGCTACAACAGGTGCATAATGTAAAACGAGCCCCGCTTCGCTTTCCTTGTCACTGGAACATGGCAGAAAATGCAGAGACTTTATTTCAAATATCATGTCTGAAAGTACCTCTGGTCGGGGGAAGTTGAAATTGAGATTTTGAAATGTATTTGTGAGGGTTTTAAAGGAAATAATCACATGTAATGTTTGAGCAATGTTGACAGCCCAAGTGTGTATGGAAACTTTTGAGTTATGCTTTGTATTAGTGTCTATTGTTGCTCAAACAAAAAGAAAAGGAAAGAGTGGACTATAAAACAACTGTAACTTGTAAAAAAATATACAAATAAATAAACGAACAAAAAAATAATTACGTATTGTACAATATACCCCCATTACCCTTCAACTACAAAAAACTTTATAGAGGGAAAATTGTAAAGGGAATCTACGTGTCCCTCCATAAAGAGACATTTCACATTCAAGTGACCAGAAAGAGTGACTTGTCAGAACTGTGGACAGCAAACATCCCTGTATTTATATAATGGCACTCCTTGCACTTCCATGTGAGTCCATGTGATTGAGTCCTGACTAGAACCAGGAAGTACGATCACATTAGTCCAGTCCTCAGGTCTCTGTCCTGAAGAGACCTGTGGCTCAGAGAAAAGGCTTTAAAGTACATCTGAGACATGTTGGGGCCATTTGGACTCTGAGGAGCACAGGGACTGGACTCCTGCTGGTGCCCAGAGTGAGAACTAAACATGGGGAGGCTGCATTTCAGATTCATGCTGCTAAAATCTGGAAAAGTCTTCCTGAAGATGTGAGACAGGCTTCCTCTGTTTTAATTTAGTATTATAATCACCTGTATCATTTTAACGTGTTTTATGTGATGATTTGTGCTTTGTGCTGTGTGAACTGTGAAGCGCTTTGTGTTGCCCCACGTAAGAAAAGTGCTCTATAAATAAAAATTAATTGATTGATTCTCCTCTGACAATGTTCAAATCCAGCTGTGCAAACAACTGAGGGATTTTATCTCCTCTCTTCTTAATGCAATGTGAGTTTTTCTTATTCTGTTCAACACTTTGAGTTTGTCCTTGTGTAGGAATCCAAATACACTTGCCTTGCCTTTAATAAACAGTTCATCTTTTATATACCGAACAGTATTTGTGACTCCATTTCTCTCAGCGCTACATGATCCTTTGTGCTGACATTTGGCTGCCACTCAGACGAACAGTGAGCAGAGGCTGAGCTTTGTTAATGGGACTGATGAAGCTTTCTTACCGTCCTTGTCATGATTCACTTGGACAAGGACGATCCCTTCCACGCCAGGCCATCAGCAAGCCTCATTTCACCTCGCAATGAGAGCTTCTAATGAGGCGGGCTGAGGCGGGAGCACTCCTCCTTTCTCCATCATTTCACACTGCTGCACACATCTAACTTCTCCCTGGAATCGTCCAAAATGTGAATTCTGCGTGTGAGATGACATGTTTTAAAGAATCCAGTTTGATTGTGTCTATACTGCATGGGCGTTTCAATCAGACTGTGACTATTGGGTCCTGGGTGAAACATGGAAATTGAGACTGCCGTTAAAAAGTATATTTATTTATGTAATTCCACTTAAAACTTGTTAGGCAAGTTTTCAAATTACGCAATTAACTTCAGCTCAGTAGAAAGCAATTTGTCACCTACACGAACTGTCTTAAAGTTCTGAACAGTCTTAAGTAAGTACACTACCGTTCAAAAGATTGGGCTCACATTGAAATGTTCTTATTTTTTAAGGAAAAGCACTGTAGATAACTTTAAACTAGTCTTAACTTTAAAGAAATACACTCTATACATTGCTTATGTGTTAAATGATTATTCTAGCAGCAAATGTCTGGTTTTTGGTGCAATGCTGTAATTGCTGCAAATGGAGGATTCTTTGACGAAAGCAAAGTTTGATGTAAAACAAATCTTTTTTCAAATACAAATCATTATTTCTAACCTTGTCAATGTCTTGAGTCTATTTTCTATTCATTTCACAACGTATGGTGGTGAATAAGTGTGACTTTTCATGGAAAACACTTGGGTGACCCCAAACTTTTGAACGGTAGTGTATGTACATAGGGCCTGTCACAAAGCGCTTTACAATTGTGGACATTTGACTCGCCAAACATGAGGCACATGTCAGACCTATTGTACGTGTTTTTAGTGGTAGGGGAAACTGGAGCACCCAGAGGAAACCTACGCAGATGCAGTGAGAACATGCAAACTCCACTCAGAAAGATTCGAACCCAAGACCTCCTTACTGAGAAGCGAGACTGCTATATTCACTCAGCCACTGTGCCGCCCAAACAGTCACTAAAGTTATATTATCTTTCTCAGTCTCATCATTTAGATCAAGCAAAATGCAGTTTCTTGAAACATGGAAAATTTGCCAAATGTATTAGTGCATTTTGATCTAAAAACGACTCCAGGTCTGTGTGTGATGAGGGAACAATGTTGGTTCAAAGCTCCAAACACATTCATGTAAATACTGCACAGAAACTCTTAATTTAAAAGTGAAAATATGTGCAATGTTGAACCACACGTGTCACTCATCTGTGCAATACTAA